CTTTTTCTCCGCACCGTTGCATCCATACGTTGCGTCCCCCCCCAACCACAAAAACCCCCCACACGCAGGGGGGGGCTGGGGAATTCTGGGAGTTGAAGTGCACACATCTTAAAGTTGCCAAGGTTGAGAAACACTGTGATAGAGGTTGAAGGTGAGAAATGTAAAACTCTCCAAAGATAGTGATCATATCACTCACCCTTCTTACCAAACACAATAAGCCCACATCAGAGTTTCTTGTGTAACACAAGAATATTTCATCTGCATGCAAGAATGGCTTCAGATATCATGCTAAGCCATGATTTAATTAACTATGGTTTGTTGAACAAGTCAGAATTCACTGGCTCACACAGCATTCTAATTTATTTGGCTTTGCCTCCCACTGTATAACTGGACACAGCCTACGGCCCTAAGAGGCCATCTCTTAAAAAAACAATAAAGCAGTCTTTCCTGGAGAAATGTTGCCCAACCTAGTTTAGCATAGATGTGAGCCCAGACAATTGTGTTTTGATGAACAAACCAACACAGAGCACAGTGTGCAAAACCAACCACTGACCTTAGCGGCAGCCTCCAGCTTTGATTTTCTGCATTTTCACCATGGCGCCTCTTCAGTCGGGGGGTTCTGACCTCGGAGTTCTATCACCAATTTTAAAACTGACTACTGTATTTTCAAAACTGGGGCGGGCCATGCAAGAGAAGCCAAGGCTAGAAGTATTTTCTCATGGGAACAATCTTGTGGGATTTACCCTTTATTATTTGGTTTCACATATGTTAAAAGTCAAGGCCCTGACTTCTATGTATTTCTATTATGTGTATTTTCGGAAATACATTTCTTACTCTTCTGATTATTAAAAAAAGACATTATACATGGTAATGGCTGATGAAGTTCAGAAGCCAGATGCAGGATTTCTGGGCTGGCATGGTGTCCTCACCTTGCCTCTTTTCATGAATGTCAAATAAAATATATAGTGCAAAGGAGATGCTTGCCAACCTATTTCTGTGGAATTCCACTTCTCTCAGTGCACTGCTTAGAATACCTGGAGCACTGAAATATATTCAGCTACAATCAAATTTGCAAAAATGATTGGGGGTGGGGGTGGTTGTTTTGCAGTTGTGGTGCACAGATACCAGAATACAGAATTTGAATATAAGCACCCAAATGTCAGGATTTTTGTTCACTTTGGCAGCAAGATTTTTATATGCCCAAAGATGGACGAGTATGGTGGGGGTGGTTGTTTTGCAGTTGTGGTGCACAGATACCAGAATACAGAATTTGAATATAAGCACCCAAATGTCAGGATTTTTGTTCACTTTGGCAGCAAGATTTTTATATGCCCAAAGATGGACGAGTATTGAAATTCCCACAAGGGAGGAATGGATTGTAAAACTGTCAGAATTAGCAGTAATGGCAAAACCAACCTGTATGGTCAGGAAGAAAACAACAAGTGGTTTTTTTTTAAAAAACCAGAAACCTTTTATGGACTTTTTGCTAAAAGAAGAAAAAAAGTGAAATGATGATCTATGGATTTAATGATAATATCGCATTGAAGGGATTCCTGGAAGAGATAAGAGGGAGGGGAGATACGGGTTTGTCAATATCTGTTGAAAAGAAGGTCAGAAATCATTATTTTTCATAA